AGAGAGAACCTCTTACTTTCAACCACAATTGCAGATGTGGTGGGATTGAAGTGAATATGTATGTCTGATAATATTTAACAGCTAAATAAAAGATGCATAAAAATGATCTGAGATATTTCCCCCACCCCCCCCAAAAAATAAATCAGATAATTGTGAGTTATGTACTGACTGCCCAGATGAATATAGGAGCATTCCACAAATAACTGAGACTTAAGTAGCCTTAAACAAAACACAACAGTTGGCCAAACAGTAGTGCTTGTTTAGAGACAATACTGTAAAAAGAGTAAAAGAAAGCATGCTTGAAACAATAGTCAAATGTAAAGAATTTACACATAGTTGCCTGATCTCTCTTTGTGGGAAACCACGAAAGAAAGCCTGCAGTCACTAATGAGAGACAAAGACGAACACAGCTTATCGCTTGGTGTAGTAAAGCAAGTTCACTCCTAGAGTATCCACATCTCATTCCCTACCCACATCAGTGCTGGTTTTGCATTAAGTCCCTCCTAACATAAATAAAGCAAACTACCCAATCTTCTTTTGTACAACTGATAGTATAGTGTGGTTAAAAACTCCCTGCTGTTTGAAGCTATTAATACTTAATTTTCAGATTGCAGTAGCACTGAGAGGCCACTGATCAATCATTCTATGTTTAAGGCAAAAATAGGGGAAGTAACAGTATCTGCCCCAGAGCTTAGACTCATTTATACAGCCCCATCAGGCAATTTCTGTACCATACTCTATATTTACCTCCTGTATAATTCAGGCCCAAGTTCATTGGCAAAGTACTATTTTTGCAAGCAATTTTCATGAGGGTTTGGATTGAGAATCATAGACTCATTTAGGTTGGAAATGACCTTTAAGATCGTTGAGTCCAACCGATATTGAATCCTGGAGAACATCACTTGTGATTGGCTATTAACTAGATTTAACTCTGTTCACCACCACTCTGAGTCCAGCCATTCAGCCAGTTTTTCACGGAGTGAACAGCACCCCTGCCATGAGCAGCCAGTTTCTCCAGGAGGATGCTGTATGAAATGGCTCCAAAGGCCTTACTAAAGTTTAGGTAGACAATGTCCACAGCTTTTCCACCATCCACTAAGCAGTTCACCTTGTCATAAATCAGGTTAGTCAATCTAACCAGATCAGGGACAAAGACAGGCTACTAACACTAAAAACAATTATGGCACAAGAAGAAATAGCTAGGAAATCACCAGGGGATTTAGAATCCATTTCTCAACCATCAGTGTTGGTTTTGGTGTAGCCAGCCTTCAGGGAAAAAAGGGGCAAAATCCTTGGTTATTTGTAAGATGAAGCCCAATCCATTAATGAAAGGCACAGTGTGCTGTGACCACCTGGAACAGCAGAGGACTGGCCTCAATGAATAAGAGCTCAGGTTTCTAAGGAGTATTTTCTAAGGCATTCATGTATTTATCATTCTCAGTCAGTCCAAGATTCACATAATGTTGACAACTGTAATATATTCTTCATAAATTGCAATTGGATCTTTGAATCTCCAGACAGTTGAGAAACTAGTTTCTCTCACCTGTTTAATTAACCATGTCATGTTTTCCAAAGAGAATTAATTGTCTCAGTGAAGCAGTAAGGAGACTCAAAGGTTCGAAAGAAAAACAAATATGAGCACCAAGCAGAGTAAACATTTATCCAATAAACATTTTCACAGCTGAGTTTCAAACTTCTCATGTTCCAGCTTCTTACATTTTATAATCTCATCCCACTTGGTCCTGGCACCACAGCTCTTTAAGATATGCCTTGTGGGAAAACACTGCCTTGGTAATCAAAACATTTAGACTGTGAAAGAAATATAAAACAATCCTCAAGGAAGTTTTATGGTGCAGTGACTGCTCTGAGACCAAACTGTAACTTTTCCCTGCTTGGTCCTTAACAATTGATGAATAGAATTGGTTTTATATCAGGCTAACTCTACCCTGATCAAGTTTTGGCAAATGTTCCCCTTGAGTAAAGCCAGTAACTCTCCCAGTAACAAGCGCAGTGCATCTTCTTGTTTGCTCTGCTGCCCCTGAGACTGGCTGTTGCTGCTTTCCATAGCCAGAGTTAACTCTGAAAGTCCAATTTTAACCAAATTGAAATTGCCCTTTTTTTTTTTTCCTTTTTTGGTAACTGCTTTCATTTCTGCTTTTACCACTTTTTTTTTTAGCATTACTCTGAGAATGGAGTAAACAGTTGCACGTGAAAAGGAGAAATGAAAATGATCTTCAGATAGCTGTTCCAACAGCGGAAAGCATTTTTAGCATTCAGCTGTGGTTACATGATGGAAGAAAACCTTTAGGGTATCTGTGAGATGGGTAAAGTGGCAATCACCGAAATGATGATGTTAATCATTGTCGATTCAATCCTGAGAGGGCTGAGGCCCTTCCCAAAGACTGAAAGTTTCTATTTCTCTGTAACATGATTCCACACAGAATGTTAAAGGGAAAGTCCAGCATTTAGCATCTAGCTGAGCAACTTCTTCCTTAAAAAAAGGGAATTGGGATAAGCCGTGAAATATACACATGCATTCCACTGAGAGTTTCAGTTGGGGGGAGGGAGCGGGAGGGGGGGAATTGTATTCTGTCTTTGGAAATATTCTGATAATTTTGCAAGCTTTATGATTATAGGCTTGAATATTTCTCAGTCCTTAGAAAAACTGCTGCAGTACCTGAATTTAGAAGCAGGTTTTAGTGCCGATCTCCTCAAAGGTTTTCTAGCTGTTCAGGTCAGATATTCAAAAACCAAACCAATATACCACAGCTTCAGTGAAATCAACAGAGATAAGCCATTTATCATATCCAGCTAAAGGTCCCCCTTTGCATATTTCAGCTCTAAAGAGCAGTAAATCTCACAGAAAAAAATAGACAGCATGCTGTCAGATAAGTTTACTTTTGAAACCAGATGATATATTAAGTATGGTTTAAATTTTGCATTAGTCAAACAAAACAGAGAAACACCTTCCTTTGGTTTGTTCCATTTTGGTGTGGTTCAGAGTAAATCCTGAATGATTAATTGATGCTTTAATAATTCCATGTCTGTATGTCTTCATTTTCACTTTTCCTTTCACTCAAGCTTCTGCATGTGCGTGTCTTATTTAAGTCTGCTCATGTTCTCCTTCACTAGATGGCAAAATTCCTACAGCTGCACTTCCCTGGTTTTGTGAGCAGCAAAGGCCTGGCAGCCCCTGTGCAAGTCCTGAATGTCCAGCCCTTCTGAAATCAGGCTCCAGGTGTCAAAGAGTCTCAGCAATGGAGCAGATTATATAATATAGAATATTTTGATAGACCCAGCCTTTCTAATTAACAAAAATGCAGGATTTCTCTTTTTGTGACTAAAGGAAAGGAAGAGAGTCAGAAAGTCCAAAGAGGTATCTTATTTTCTTTGCTGGACACTACCCCAGTGCTCTGAACAGCTCACCAACACATCTCAAGATGCAGCACAAACATCTCCAAACCAGCCCAGCAGGCAGTGTTGGAGGTAAGTGCATTTACCCCATTTGAACCATGTAGGTACAATTGGTGATATGGCTCACCTATCTTTTTGAACCGGCAACTGCAAGAGGCAAAACTGTGACTGTTGCTTGTTCAATACCTGGAGATGAAGGCTTTGAGCTTCCTCGCCTGCCCTCACTCACACACCTGCTCCTGGGCAGCCACAGTCTGGCCATCAGTAAAAGCAATAATCTTTACAGCATGAGAAAAAAGCAGGCTGCTGAGCCTCATAAGTAGCAGAGAGCCATCATGAGGAACTAAGTGACTTTCTTTAACGATGTGCTTATAAATCATTAAAGTGACATGGTATGGGCTTGGGGTTTGTTTTGCAAGCTAGAATGGGAATTATAACATCCACATTTCAAAACCCATGCTCACCCTTACACCCCCATTTCCTGTGGATGGCACCCAAATTTAACCTTTCATTTATTCAAGACCAGTTTCTTATATTTATCTGGTAGAATAAGCAAACAGCTGACTACAGCAAATCCAGGGAGCTCTTCTAAAACTGTCCGCTAACATCAAGATAAGTGCATTTCAGACATCCCAGAGGAACTTAAAAAATACACCACTTACCTGCTACCAGCTGTTTCGCTTACTTTTATTTTAGTGGCACTGGAATAGGTTCATCTCAATCCTTTATGACCCCCAAAGTCTGAAACTGGCCACATCTCCATTGTGTTGAATGCAGTGGAGAAAAGCAGACTGAGAGAAGCCTGCTCTCAAGTTGCCTTATGATTTCTCGGTGTGTCCTTGAGGGGCCACATTATCTGTGACAACTGGTGGCCAGGCACTCAGGCACACCATCAGTTATCAGAGTGACCACCTGGGGGAGACCACAATGCACACACAGTAAGGGCCATTCTACAGGTGATTTATGTATACAAAATTGGTGTCTCAACAGTACACTGCCACAGGCACTGCGGGCTTCAGTTATGGGATGTGCTGCCTTGGGGAATTAAAAGAATTTGCCTGTTGCAATCTCAGTGCACTTAAATTGATACTCCAGAGTTACTGCTCGCAGCTGAAGGAAGACCTGTAAGAAGTGGGTGATCCAGGTAGTGACACAAGTAAGCCTTGTTCTGAACAGCAAGGCCTTAGGTGAAAGCTGGTCGTTATAAATGAAGCAGTAACAGTCTAGGGAGATTTGGAGCTAAACATCCTCTTTCAGGGCTTTTGTATAGTAGCTCTCATGCTCATGGGAGGAATGGGGAGCTGCAACCATGTAATCTATCACATAATGAAGAGCACATGCAAACCCTGACAATGACTATTGAGGGTTACAACCCTCTCTGACTTGCAGTCCTGTCCCTATATCATACAAATCGGTGCCTACGTTGCCTGCAGTGTAATGGTTTGGACCTGATGAATCAGGAGTTCTGTGACCAGCTTGTTGCTCTGAAACACACAGGTGTGGGACCTCACACATCCCCTGTGATGAAATTTAGACCTGACCATGCTTGCAGTCATACTAATCCCTCAGCTGTGATGTGTAGTGCAGATGCTGGCTGCTGCAGTAGCTGGGCAACCAATTAAATATTTCTGTATTTCCTTCTGGAAGCTGCAGCTTCCTTCAGTGACTAATACAATGCACTGCTTTCTCCAATGTAGCTACGTTAGTCTTGGCTGTCAGCAGGTAGGGAGGTGACTGCTGATGGACTGAATTTGGGTTCCTGTAGACACTGCTGCTGGTCATATTGATGTCCTCTCAGCTAGGGTTTTTTCACTTTTTTAAATGTAACTTTGAACATGCAGGCAGTGTGTCACAAATCATGACATTCCAGTTCCCATTTACCACAAACACCTACCTGCCAGTACTGAGTGCTATGTCCGATGGCCCTTCACCACCTCAGATTACATCTCCAAGATTTGGGATTGCTACAAGAAACAGGTGGCTATTCTCCATTAGCAGGAGTTGCAGGACCTCTGAAAACCTCACCTTAAGAACATACCTGTAGGAAATTCAGGACAGGGCACCATGCTTGCAAGGGCTGGCCAAATAACTAGGGCTTAATAGATGTTCTCTTGATAAATCTGACTCCGGCGTTGCACCAAGCTTTTCAGAAGGTGGCAAGTCTGGGGAAGGGATGTGCTTTCCACACTGCTAGGCCCATCTGAGAACTTTTTAATCCTTATTCCTGTTACACATTTCTATGCCTGCCAGCCCCCAAGAAGGTTTGAAAGTCAGCCTGACCTCTTGTGTGTCTGATCTAGATCCAACAGGGAATGAGATCAGGGAGCTGTGAGAAGCAAGCTTAATGGGGAGACTGCTGCAAATGTAGCAAAACAAATAATAGAGGCTCCAGGTTTTTGTTGTAGAAAATACAGTGCTGTGGCTTTTGGGTGCCAAGAGGCAGTTCTTTTAATAGCTACACATTCTTTGTAATGCTGATGAGTGACAATATAGAAAGATGAAAGTAGGAGGGCATTGTATTATAGTCTTACATATATTATGCCACAAAGAAAATGCGGTTGCTGGGTGGGGATTCTTCGTCCTCCTCCTGCTGAGCTATTCATACAAACTCTCCTCTGTGGATGGCAATCCCCATTCCATCTCTCCTAAATCCCAAGGGGTTTGCCAACTGACTTTCAATTTTTCAAGTGGAAATCGCAGGACTGAATGGCGCATTGAACTATTTCCTCCTACACCTCACTGCTCCTTTAGGAAGTGAGCAGACATGGTTTTTCCAAAAGATGTATGCCATCTCCTGGGAGCAGTAGAAACTGCAAGCCCCTTGTATGGAAACCTCCCTTATTTGCGTCGTCTTGGAGGGCATTATACAACCACCAGAATAAGGTCTGCAGAGCTAGGACTACCTTCTACTTCTAAATTTGTTGAACTGTGCCCAATTTATGCTAGTAAAACTCAAGTTACATTGAAAATGTCATCATACATTTCATGTATCAGAAGATTTGAATGGATGCCAAAAAGTACGACAAACTAAAATATGTTAGTCCATGACATTCAGCAGTCACAAATTTGTCACGGGACTTAGCATACACTGATGCAATGTTTTAACACAAAAGTATGAGTGCTGAAATGCAGCCCACAGCATTGCTCTGATGAACCGATTTTGTCCTACAGGACACATGCAAGAGGCAGAAGAAAAACATCAGAGATTTCCTTGTGAACCACCATATGATCCTTTAGCACACAGGAGAAGATATGTTTCTCTTAACTCATAAACTGCAATTTGCACGTGTCAAACAACAGACTCATCACCCTTAGGCTTTTTATTTCCTACAAGCATACCATTAAGCTTTGCCCTGTCAAGAAGACACTACACGGAATAAAATCCATGGATCTAATAAATATATTTTTGCATTTTGAATTAACAGGTGTATAGGTGGATTAATCTTTTGTCTTTGAACTGGACCTTTAAGCAAGCTAGTTACTTAGTGCAGACACGTTCTTGAAGTAACACACGTAAGCATGGTTTCATACATAAAATGGTTTTCTGGCTTATGCCTATATACCTGCAAAAATCATAAAAATAACTCAAGTTCCATAAAGGTAGAACATGATGCATACATAGAGATGATGCATTCTATGCATATTTAACTTGTGTTTATCTGGTAAACACTAGATTTAATAATCTTAGTTTTTTATCACTTTTATTCTCTTTTAAGGAAACCAAACAGTCACAAAACATGGTCTTCAGCTTGAATTTAAAGACTAGAAATGAGAAGCCAGCAATGACTCAGATGATGAGCTCAACAAGAGGTGACCATGTTGAGCACCCACACTGACTAGTAGCTGAGTTTCAGCAGATGTCATCTCATAACTCCCTCAAGTCAAATCAGGATGCTCCAGTCCTTACCACCAAAATTCTCAACTTCATAGGAATTTTGCTTCACAGTTTTTCTTCATCTGCCCTTTCCTGAGACCTGCCGAGTGCTGTTCTCACCTGTGCAGGGGAGCAAGAAGGGTGGGAGAAGGCGGGAGGAGGTTCATCAGAGGCTGGAAATCTCTTGCTAAAAGAAAGCAGCATTTTCCCTAGGGTGGATCACCATCCACCTACACAGAGGTTTTAATAGACCATGCTCTTTAATTGTATCCAGCAGACTGATTAATAATATAACTAGTAGTGATCCACCCACAAATAAAATATATTTCACAGCCTTTAGGAAAGTCAACACCCCAGGAAGAAGAGACAGAACTCACCAAATCACCATCTAGTGACAGTGAGCTTTGGTCCCCTGCAGCTGCACTGGGACTGCTCAACACCTTTGTGCCACCAGCCACCAACACGAGCTTCTACCACTTGACCCCAGCTCAGTGAAAATCTTTAAATCTTTTGGCACACTTGCAGGTATGGAGGTATAAAGTACTCAAACCACACTTAGATTTTCATGAGAAAAAGGGTAAGAAGCCTTTGCATGAGCAGGAAACTCTCTAACTTTGGGAAAGCATCTTGATAATTTTAATAGAAAAATCACTAATCAAGGCAAAAAACTCTAAGCAGTACTGTCGTGGTTTAAGCCCAGTCGGTAACTCAGAACCATGCAGCCGCTCTCTCACTTCCCCCTACTCCCCCTTGCACCCCCAGCTCCCTTAGGGATGGGGAGGAGAATTGAAAGAATGTAACTCCCATGGGTTGAGATAAGAACAGCCCAGTAACTAAGGCATAACACAAATCACTGCTGCTACCATCAATAACAATAATGGGAAGGGAAATAATAAGTGAAGAGAATACAACCACTCACCACCCACCAACCGATACCCAGCCTGCCCTGAGCAGCGATCTCGCCCTTCTGGGTAATTGCCCCCAGTTTATATACTGGGCATGATGTGCTGTGGTATGGAATACCTCTTTGGTCAGTTTGGGCCAGGTGTCCTGTCTCTGCTTCCTCCCGGCTCCCCCTCCTCCCTGGCAGAGCATGAGACTCACAAAGTCCTTGGTCAGAGTAAACATTGCTAAGCAGCATCTAAAAACATCGGTGTTACCAGTGCTGTTCCCAGGCTGAAAGTCAAAAACACAGCACTGCACCAGCTATTAAGAAGGAGAAAAATGATTGCTACTGCTGAACCCATGACCAGTACAAAATTCTGTAGATCCACACTTACACCAAGATTTTTAAGTTTGAGCAGCCAGAGCTACACCATAGTTAGCTCCCAAAGAGCAGGTACCTTGCTTGTCTAAAAGCTGCAGACCTCCTTGATGTCCATGGCAACTGTGCATTTCTCACAGTTTTGAAAATATGATAATTTTCATTTAGCATCTTAAGTATGGTGTGAGGAAGCTGCCTGTAGGAATCAATACTTTGAAGGTCTGAGCTTACACACAGAAGTACCTTGCTGGCTGCCTGCTTATTCTGGCAAGGTGCAGAGAAAATCAGTGGAAAGTTAGTACCATCTAAGTGGATTTCTGCAATGTAGTTGCTATGTGCAGCGATCATTTACTTGTCTTTTGAGACCATTAATTTTACATAGGTGAAAGGGTTAGCTGAGACATACTGCTCTTTTATAAACCATCATCATGATGCAGGACACTCTTCCACAGGTTCTTGTTATAACGTCGCCATTGTTTGGGATGTCTCAGAAGTAGAAAGTTGGAGGTTGGCCAAAACCAGAGGAATAGTATATTTCTAAAGAAATATTATTGCTGTTCATACTCCTTCTCTGAGCTGCTCTTTTCTTTCACTCTCTCTGAAATTGCTTCTCAGAACAATGCCTATATTTAGAATTCTAAATCTTTAAAATTAAGATTCTACGTTTGTGTGGGTGGTTGATGCATCAAATTTAGCATAGTGATTAAAGAAAGGCTATTATATTTTATGGTGTAATTTAGTTTACCTTAACTTCCCATCTGCAAACTCCACTTGACAAAGAAATAAAAACTCTTTCTGAAGCTACTGAACTGCGAGAGTTAAAATTTGGCTAATGTCTTTCCTTTGAGGGAGTATGTAGAATACTCCAGGTCCCCCATGAAGTCACCTGAAACACAATGCACTTTCTAGAGTGATTGTACTTCAGAAAACTGATTATGCAGCCATCACCACTGGTGCCATCAGTCTGGGGCTCTTAGTGGACTACACGGTCCTAATGTAGTATGTATGAAGATTTGTTATTGAAAGAAGTAAGGGTAAATCTAAATATATTAAGAACTGATGATATGAAGTAAACTGTCACTGTTTTAAGTCTGTATCCTCAATGGATTTTTACTCTATGCATTGACATTGTGGAGGCAATACAGTACAGGTGAGCTGTTCTTGGCATGAGGAGTTACTATTGTTTATGACCCTAAACCAATTCTCCCAAACTGTATCCCTGATACAAATATCAACCAACCTTGAAAATGTTTTGAATTGAAAACTAAAATCACAGTGACTGCAGCTCTGGGAAATATTAAAGGTAGAAAATGAGGAGAAAGCCCTCTGATGTTATATCCCCGTGCTTCAAGAGAACAAAAACCATCAGAATGTATTAAGACTGAAGCAATTGTTGGTGGGGTTTTGTTATTATTATTATTTTTCCTCTTCCTGTTTAATCCCACGAGCTGTTGACTGCTGAGTTCAGGCTCCCCAGGCTGCTGTTGGAAAAGCTGGCATACGTCATTACAGAAATCTTCCTTCAATGGACAGCAGCAGTTAAACATGCCTGATGTTACCCAATAAGGAAGCTTGCATATCGCTATCAGCGGTGGGAAACAGCAGAACCCAAGAGAAGGAGGGGGAAGGAAAGTTTGAAATATTGCAGGCCATTGAGATAGATACAGAGCATGGAAACAAAACATGTTTTATTTATTTGGAAGGTCAGTGCCCTCAGCTGGAATGGAGGTTTTGGAAATGTATTAGAGGAAAAGTTTAATCTACCACAAGCACTAGCTAAAGCATGTTTAAATTCTGTTTATGAAGCAGTTTCAGTAAATTTGGGCAATGTGAGTTAGGAAATTGTAACCATGTTCATCTGGCACACTGTGGAAATAGCAGCCAAAGTTTTGGTATAATCTTTTCTGAAAAAAAAAAATGAAAATCCAGCAAATCTCCATATGAATTGTCCTAGACAACACCCTATTCCCAGATCACTTAAACTGCTATTAACAGTGATGTAGATGAGCTTAACTTAAAATAACTATTTTCACATGCCTTTAGCTTAAACCTAAAATGCCTGTGAAAGATGAAGCAGTCAGTCTTGTCACAGAGCAATAAAATAAAAGGCATTTTCTCCCTGGCATGCCTTTCATTTCATTTAGAACAGCTTGGTTCAGTCAGATAATTCTGTTCATACTTATATCTATTTAGTCTTGGAGTAATGCCACCAAATTCAATGATATTACATGGATTTAAATAAGGGGGAGGAAAATACATGTATTACATCACTAGAGTTACTCTAGCAATGCATTAGGCCTAGGTGCTTATATGTTCACCCTCACTTTGGGTGTCAGCTGGTTAAAACTATCTGTGGGTTCATGACACCTACAGTTTATCTAAGTGCATATGAATCAATGTAAATAATACAAATACAAGAAGCAAAAAACATATCCGTATGTTCTGAACAGTATGACAAAAGCCAGGTCAGCGGTAATAAATTGCTTAAAGAGTGCCATGTTGGAAAGAGAAGAGAAAAGGCCTCCTCTACTATAAGTAGAAAGTGTCCACTCAATGACAGCTAGCTTGTCATTAGGAAAATGCTCTCTTTTTGCACTAGCACTGACCACTGTTTTTAAAAGATGCAGAATAAAGTACTCTGAAATTATCCTGATGAGTCAGAAGTAGCTGTTGAAGCACACGCAATCATACTGCTATTAGGTTGCTTGCTGGTTTACAGTAACTGCTCCTATGTGCAAGGGTAGGTGTAATTAAAATAGAAAAGGTGTGGTATTATGACAGTACCGTGTTTTCATAGTCTCCCTAGCAAAAGAAGTTGACAAAAACTATAGCTTTCCAGGAAAAAAATTTAAGTTCCAATAAGATAGTGTGTTATGGGCATTCTGTAAGGTAAATTGTTGGTACGAAAAATGATGTGAATAAAAATTGGAAACCCTGGTGTTTACTTATATGTATGAAAAGAAATAGGTCAGTGACTTTGTTTCCATGGTGACCATTATTGAAATAAAGCAAACTGACACCAATACTGATTTATATTTCTATTCTGCACCCTTTTAAACAATCACTTTAATCTGAGATTGCTACTGAATGTAAACAGGACATCAGAGTGAACTTCCACAATACGATCTTCAGAGGTTCATTAATGAAAGAAAGACCTAAAGAAAGATCTGCTTTGGAACAATTCTGCTTTCTGAGCAGGTGCCAGTTCCTACTATCCTGCAGTAACATAGCTGACATGCTGCAAAGTAAAAAC